TTGAACAAGAGAGGCTTTCTTCAAAATTGGGAATTTTCAGTTCATTGTCTTTAAGATCCTACGTTCTTCACATAGGATCTTAAAAACTAGGGCACAAATTATCTCGGAAGAAAAGCGTTTCAGTGCCTGAAGCCAAACAGCGTAGTTAAAAAAAAAAAAAAAATTTTTCCAAACCAAATTTGTCATAAATCTTTCAACTCACGAAATGAGTTTGATTAACTTATCCATGAGGCTTGATCAATTCAAACATAACCAGCTCTTTGTGATTGACAGAGAGACTTCATTCATCTGCGAAATTATGTTATTTTTACCAAAAAAGCATCCAGCATCTTGTACTCCATTTAAACTTGTGTCCACGAGGTACAACTTGTCATCTCATTTTGGTAAATTTTAAAGGCGTATCCCGCTGTTTGAAGCTACGACAACGCTTTAGCAGAGACGAGATACTTAATCAGGAGTATCGTTTGGACTCATTTTCAATCAGTTTTCATCAGTTTTCTGTATGGGATGCTGTTTGAGTTTTGTTAAGCTGCTATCAGATGTTCTTAGGCTTTTTTCGCGAAAGACGTGCGGCAGCCAGCGAGCTGAAGTAACCTCATGTTCCTTAAAAAGATCGCTCTTCTTTAGCGAGCATCTTTGGAGCAGGGTGAATTATCTAAACCACTGTCGCATTAAAGCAGCATTCCCCTTAGATATTTGGGAACTTGTTAAATATCTGTACATGTACATAGGTTAAACGCTGCTGAAAATGTCACGATATCGCAGCTTTCCCAGATCTTTAGTGTTTGGTTGGAAGCATATATAGTTGTTTTTGAACACTACTAAATAAAGACGGCTTTTTTAAGAGTTAATTGTTCAGGTGAAAAAAAAAGCTCTATACTGAAATATAATTTTAAACCACCAATAATGGGATTATCTCTCATCAAAACACCGCCCTATGAAATTTAACATTGAATTACAAATAAATTACATCACAATGTCAAGGTCTTATTTGGTCTTAATTTGAAAATAAACCTTTATTTGCATTGTTTTTTGGATTAGTTATTTCAAATTCCCTTCAGAATTTCTGTCGACAGCCCGTCTGCCCGATTAATCCGGCTTTTGTTTGAATCAAATAATGGACATATTTCCTAGTAGTTTCAACAAAGAATCAATAAATTAAAGTGTTTATGTAAAAATAAAATATAAATGTCTAGTGGCTGAACGCGAAATGGTCGCGGATGCTTATTTACTGTCAAGAATTTGACCATAAGTACATCTTGAAAAAATTTGATCTCAGTTGTATCTTTCATGATAACTAAAACCTTTGGCAGTCATATCAAATAACCGCAAGTGAAAATAGCTGTTGTTATGACCAGTAGCTTGTGTAAAGCAGTACGATAGAGTACCCTTAGATCGGAGAGGGTTCCCAATATTTCGCGGTCCGTTTTGAAAGCAAGTTTCAGTTGTAGGATGAGTAGTGTTACCGCAAGTGAAGGATTACTTAGCACTGGAATTACGTACGAAGTGGATAATGGCCTTTTTTGGAAAGTAGTGACTCGGAACAGTTTAAACAAAAGATCGCGAAAGTGTTGATTAAGTACACTGAGAAGTTCTCAAATAAGTAAGGAAAAGTCGTCCATTTTGTGGAAGAAGAAGAAGGACGTTAAAATTTCAAAACAATTTTAGAAGGAAAAAAACCCATAGCACTTAGGGCTTGTTTTGGTCCAAGTTCGTAGACTAACCATCTTACCGTCGAACAGATGTCAAAATGCTACCACATAGTTGAAATTGCAGTTGCATACTGGAAGATTAAACGAACCGCTGACCGTGATGCAGCACATTTTAGTTTGGGTTCTTATATTTTTTTGTCTCCAACTCGTCCACCCGTGTTGCAATCTTTAACGCAAGATGATGTTTGTTGGAATACGATGAATTTCATTTCGTTACACACTTGTGACTGTTATTTCTACTTTTTTCATTTAACTTCTAATATATTATGTTTAGTTTGAATCGTATGTTTATGCGGAGATTCAGTTCACGAAATATTATAATGCAGCTAATACGAAATCCTTTTGTTATCTTAAGGAAACGGTGAGGTAGATTTTGAAGAATTCTTGCTAATGATGAAGAAACAGATGCAAGCGAGAGACACTGAGAGCGAAATAAGAGAGGCATTCAGAGTGTTTGACAAAAATGGAGACGGAATGATTAGGTATTTTCAACCTTTGACACTTAGTTAGGTTTCAAAAATAAAATTCTACGCAGTTCATTTTACAATTCTTTTGAAGTCAAGAACGTCTGACAATTAAGTAAAAAGATATCTTGATTTATATAAGACACGGTCAGTCAATACTTTCTAATTTACATTTAGTGGTAAGTAGCCCTTTAAAAAGTTGCTATAAATAATACCGTCAGGCGTTAAGGGCCGGGATAATCGGAATTAAGCAATGTTCCAAAAGCCTCCACAGAATGGCTTATTCACCTATGTTCTAGGTAATTCTATCAGTTCCAGACCACGCCTCATTCCAACAATGAGTCAGTAACAATGGAAAAAATATACAATACCTGCTTTATTTCCCTGGTTTAATTTCCTAATGTGCAAGAATGGGCCCCATGTTGTTTAGTATTTATGTATATTTACTTACTTATTTCTTGACCGATTGTTCCGACAGTCATTCAGAACTTCGTAATGTGATGACGAGCCTCGGAGAAAAGTTAACAGAGGAAGAAGTCAGTGAAATGATGAAAGAAGCGGATCTGAATGGAGACGGATACATCAACTTTGAGGGTATAACTAATAAACTGTTTGTGGACAGTTTGCTCTTTGATATCTTGACAGTTTCAGACAATAAATGTATGTAGTAAATTAAAAAATGATACTGTTCGGGAGATATATGATCGAGAAAAGTAAAAAAGAAATATCACATCATATTGCACATGTCTCAAAATCTAAAGCGGGAAAGAAAATGTGGCCCGGTAGTTACCGTCTGGTTTTAAAAAGCCTGAGTTCGAGTTTCCGGCCGGGTATGGGTAACTGTGTTGGCGTTCTCGGCTAAGACACCCATGATAATAAATGGCTACCAGTAAAAAACAAGGTGGAATAACATCCTGTAAAGTAAAAGCGGCAACACTCCTCGTCGTTTCATGTTACAGAAACTGAGATAAACTCTCTTTATAAGACCACTTAACCCTTTTAACAAAATCCCTCCCATAACGAAATGCCCAAACTAAGATGATCTACTCGTTTTTTTAATTTACATTATATTGAGATAATCATTTCTTTCCTCAGAGTTTGTGATCATGGTGACAAACATTGAAAAGAATCCAGAGGCTCCCCCTCAATATTTGTTGGCTACTAAGTAGTTTATGAATCGATCAGACATGATTGGAAAGTTTCTTCATCTACCACTGAAGAGTTATTTATTGTCCATAAAGAAAGACGCAGGAGTGAAGTATAAATTAGAAGAAAGTGTATATGGCTTGTAAATATATATGTAAATATGTAAATATAACAGTATTGTGGGGCACAGTTAGGCCTTTTGACATGACATTTCAGTTCAGAGTTGATTCTCAGCAAAGTTCAGTATGCAATCATCTTTACGTTCAAACATAAGTCTTAGCGGTTTATTTGGCTTACCCGCCGTCATTCTAAGATTACGGACTGTAAAAGCTTTTAAAATTTTACTCTCTCCACAATTAATTAATATTGACCTGTATGCTGTTCACTGCCTTTGTTGTACGTTATCTCATGACTGACTGACTTACTGACTGACCGGTCAAATAATCTGTTAACGTAACGGTCATTTTTTCCGTACATCATTTCATGATCGACATACTGAAGTTCTGCTTTATACACTTGTTGTACTGAAACACTTTTGTATCACTTGATAGTTAATATCAGCATTAAATTTACGTCAAACAGTTTCGTTTCCTCTGTGCTCTTTGGCAGTTGAAAAAAACTTTGAGGCCATAAATCCTGCAAGTGTATCTAGCATCAGCCTAGAGTTTTCTTTTTTTACGTTGTATTTCTTTTTATAAGGTTTCAAGAAAAAGGATACTTAATCCATCTGTCAACCTCTAAGCTTTTCCTGACTTCAGTTAACTGCTGATGGCAGTGTGGACTGAGATTCAAAGCCATGGAAGATAAACGATTCGCATGGGAAAGGGAAGGCGTAATGTGAAAGTACATATGGAAGTGGGAGTTGAAAGATAAGGGGAATCGAGTAGGAATGAGATATAAGATTGTAGAAAGGTGGAAGATAAGATATAAATGCACATAAGGGGGTTTGGAGACGAAATACACAAAGTTAGACAGTGAGATAAGGAATGAGATTTAACGGTACCGTAAGGGAGGGGTTGAAGACGGGTTCATACAAGGGATCGTCTCTCGGTTCACGTAAAGAGGGGAGGGAGATAAAATACAAATGTGATTATTAGGGGCTGGGAGATGGCAGATTCAAAGGTAGACATAAGGGAGGAGAGAATGATTCATATAAAAAGGGAGGGGATATAAGATAAAATAAAATTATGGTAGGCTTGGAGATGACGGAAATACAGGTAAGTCTGTTCGGTGGGAGATGAGATACTAAGTAATATAATAGAGGGGTAGGAGTGAGAGACATCGGTTCCCACGGATATTTTCAAAAGGAGAACATTCTTTTAATGCTATTTTTATCAAGGATATCTACAAATAAATAAATCTCTCGAAGGTAAGCGTTTTCCAACCTCGCGGTTTTGGGGAAAATAATTTTTGGTTTGAAAAATTGGTAGGTTTGACAAATAGAGACTAAATTAGGGCTCGAAAAAAACTTGGGCTTCCAAAAGTAAAATTAGTTTTTGTTTCCTATATTTTTGCGACTTCGATGAAATTCTTTGGGGCTCCAAGTTATATGTTATCTGACCGCGTAAGACTGAAGCCGATTTCTTGAAAAAGACGTCTGCATTGCTATAGCTCAGCGGTCTCAACCCTAACAATGAATCCCAGCAATCTCCACGGCTTACAGAATATTCGCGGTAAACTTCGATTCTTAATGAAATGTACGAAATATTTTGGCTTCCTGTACTATGGCAAACTCCATCAACAACAATTTTCTGGGAAATCAGAAGAGACGAAATTTTATCTACAACCCGGTTGCATCATGCTCAAGAGTAAGCAATCCGCTTGAACCTCAGCATAGGAACTCGGCAAGTGTTGTCCATGCTCAATCAGTGGTACGAACCCCTGTACATCGGGAATCACCGCACAAAAAGTTTAAAAGTTGCCATAGCTTATCTGACAGAAAAGCAGATGATATTGTGGCACAGGAAGCTTGTCGTGACCTTCCACTCGATGCTTTTGATGACGAAGAGTTTTACACTTTGGAAGATGACCTCGACGACAACGATCTTTTGACAGCTGAACATTTGGACGAATGTGATCGACTCGCTTCATCCGATTTACATCCACTACACCAACAGCAAAGTACTGCTGGTAGAAATGTCACTGTTTCCTCGAACGTGGGTCTTGATGAGAATCACGAAGTCAAGTGTACACAAGATTATGTCTCTTTAGCTAATTCAATGGAATTACATGCACCTAATAATATCAAGCCCTTGGTAAAAGGTGAACCATTCTTGAATTCACTCGTGGACCAGCGTAATGGGGTAGTTTCTATACAAAGTAGTGATGTAGGTGGGAACAATGATCGAAAAGTAGAAAGAGGTAATTGTCTTGTGCCAAGGCTCTCAGAAGGTGGTCAGCCAACAGAAATGGACAACCTGAAAAAAGAAATTGAAAGATTCAAAACTGAGTGTGCTGCTGCAAACTCTGCAGTGAAAAGACTGGAAGAGGATAAATTCTGTAAAGATGGAGAAATTAAGATGTTACGTGATTCTCTAGCAGATTATCAAGCAGACGAGAAGAGAAGGCAAGCAGAGAAAAAAGCTGCTGATGAAAAACAAGCTAGAGAACAGAGTGATAGAGAAAGAGAATTGCTTAAACAAGTTGAAAACTTAACTACTCAAATCTCTTTCAAAGAACAAGAAATTTCACAAATGATAGAACAAAACAAAAAAAGAACAGGGTCTTTGACAGATGGAAGTTGTAACAGCCCAAAAAGGAAACCAGTCAATATCAGTGAAACTTTTCCAACTGGTAAATCATTCTTCCAGAAAACATCTCCAGAAAGCAAAGTTAAATCACCAAGGACAAAAGGGATTGAAAAGGATGTTAAAACCCTGAGCAAACAGAACTCACCAAGATTCTCTGAGGGAGAAAATTCAGAAAACACAGGACTCAGTGGCTCTTCCAGTAGCAGTTCTATTGTGGACATAATGAGGGCCCATAGAAGAGATAATCATGCTGCTGAAATAGCCATTACACAATTACTTGTTGAAAAATTTGCAGAAGTGGAACTTGTACAAAACTTGTTATCACCACAAGAAAAAGAGCAGCAGCACATCCTTCAGGAACAAGATGGCTGTGGTAGCATCCTCTCTCTTCTGACAAATTGTTCAAATGTTTACCCTACATCTTCCATACCAAAAACCTCTATGAATGAGACAGATGTCACACATACTTTGAGACTGTTTGAAACTCAGGCTGCCTCAAAACTAGCCAGGTCTACAAGTGGTGTCACTCAGAAAGATTCTTTTGTTATGTCCGACAGCAGTTCTGTGATGCAAACTTTATCTGGGCTTCTAAATTATCACCAAGAAGGAAATGATGAAAGTGAAGAAAAAACCTTAAATTCTGTTTTCAAAAATCGTCATTTGCCAGCAGCAGTTAAACTTCTACCCTTACTGGAGAACTGCATTGCCTATTATGTCCATCAAAGGACAGAACACCATGATGAAAACATTGTCAGTACTTGTTTGCCAAGAAATTCTCCAACAAATGACTCTGCAGAGTCTAGAGAAAGTCTATTTCTTGAAAGTGAACATGCAAAAAAACTTGCAGCATTACAAACAAATGCACTAATTTCACTGAGACTTCTGAACATTCTTGTGCTATACAGCTGTGAAGTTTGTGAATGTATTTTAAAGTCAGCGACGGTGTATGGTGACGGTAATGAAGTTGACAGTCATAATGTATTAGACACAAATGATGAAATAGCTAAGGTAAATGTTAGTGCGTTTCTCTTCTCGTTAATCATTTCCATTTTGATTCCTAAAAAGTCCTGGGCCTAATTCATAAAGTCACAGTCAACTGATAGGAAAAGTTCCTAAAATCCCACCCAATTACTTCTTTCTTTGTTAAAACTTTGAAGTGTTCATATAAAACATAGGCTAAAGCTTAGTTGTTAAGACCTTTTTTTGTGTCTTGTTTCAGGTTGTAGAGTTCACATTTTTTTTAGTATTGTGTCTCGTCATGTGTTTTCCACAGTTGAATGCATCTTAAGATATATTTCCATGTTTTTAATAAGGACGACTTTAGGTGGGTTGAATTAGTGACTAGGTAGAGGAACCCAATCAGAGCCAGAGTTGATGACATTGACAAGAGATAGTAAAAGACCTGCTAAACAAGATGTGACTAATGGGCTGTTAATTTAGATTGGCTTTATATGTTATGTCTTTTTCACTTGTGGACTAAAACTGGAGAGAAAAAACACTACTCTATAACCAACCATTCCATACCTCTGTGGTGTAAAGTTTTTGTTAAATTTTCTAGCAGCACATGCCTTTTACAGTTGCTCAATTATTGTGGGAGTGTTTTTTTATTTTTTTAATTTTTATCTCTATTTTTTTTTCTTTTTTACAGATATTCTCAAGTAAAGTAGAAGAAGATGGCTTCATTCAACACCCATTGTTCTCAAGCACTAAAATTGCTGCAAAAAAAGTAATCTGTTAATTTTCAACTATCTTTAGTTAGATAGAATTGTTATTTTTGTTTTTATTTGAAAATATACCATATAACTTTTTTAGTGGCTTTGCTACATTTTTATAATATACCAATGTGATTTTATTTGCACCTAGGCTTAAAAATGATTGTTGAACTGAAGAAAATCCTCACTATTTGAGGGTTTACTTTTGCCACAAAATATTTACTCTGTTGTTAAACAAATGAATATAGAGATGTTGAAATCCTGTGTTTTACCCTTAAAAGATGATATGAATTTTGGTCCTGGTTATTTTCTTTTAAAGAGTCCTGTGGACATTAACTCACACATCTCCAGTTTAGGCAAATTGATGGTGGAGACCTCTGTGGAAACAGGTGTGACAAATGATGTCTTTAACTGATTTTATTTATCTTGAAGGGAAGACATGCTTGTTAGAATGATGGTCATTGCAAAATTGCTTCAATAACTTCTTGAGAGTGATAAATATCTTAAAGTTACTTTGAAAATTATGAGGCCAAAAGCTTTTTACTTGATATTCATGTGGTGCTTACTGGATAATTTTGTTTTTCATTCTGTTGGTTTTGATTTCTAGAGAGGATTAGCAATGAGGAGAATGTTTATCAAACAGATTTACTGGGTTACATGTTCAGATTAATAATACCTCAACCAGTGAGTAGAAATGCTGAATACAAACTACAGTTATGTCAGTAATTCATGCTATGACAAATTTGTTAAGCAATGCATGCAAATATGAGTTTCTTGATGCTGTTGTCTGAAAAATGTCACCATTTTTTGAATTATCATACATAAACCTACCACCTTTGTCATGTAAATCATTTTTCAATGGCTTCACTATAACATTTAAGGTCTTTTCATGTTCTTGTCTCTCATAAATTGTTGCCAGAGACTAATAGTTAGTGTAAATAGAACTGATTGTTCTTGTTTAGACCCCCATGAGGGTAGAAAAGGATTTTTATTTCAGAGTTTTCTCTTTCTTTCTTGTGAGTTCCTTGTGTGTTCTTGTTTATATCACTACTACTGTCAGTGGTAGCACAGAGATTTAGACCTGTTTATGATGTATGGGATTATAGTTTAAGATTTGAATGAGTTGACAATTAAAAGGAAGATTGACTTAAGAGACTGAGAATAAGTGCTGCTCGTTTATTTAGACACACTTCTTCCTCAAGTCTCATATAGGTCAGTAGCACAGGGCCTGAGGGAATGATCTAAAGGTTTTACATTTGACTTTTGATAGGATCACTAGTAACTTATGGCAAAAAAGATCACCTAATTTATGTGGTGGCAAATTTGATTAGTTTTTCAAGTAATGTATTTCTGTGATAAGTCAAGGCAATGTTAACATTTTTTATTTTTTTAATTGAATTATTTAGAATAATTCTGTGAATGTTGCTCATGATACTCTACAAGTCCTCACTTCACTGGCAAGAAATTGTGAAGTTAAATTCTTCCCAAGGTTTGTAAATGCTAGAACAGTACAATGACTTGTTAATAAGGTAATAACAGACACCTGAACTTGGTTTTGGGACAGCTTTGCCTAACCATCAGCTTTATCAAATAACAAAAAGCTCAGCCTTGATAATTCTTAAAATCACATTCAACCTTTTCCAGTGATAGCAAATTATTTGTTATTATCTGTAGGCTTTACATTCAGATTGCGATTGTGACACCAATGTAAGATAATATGTTTTTTCTAAAAGGAATACAAAAATACAATGTAAAAACAAAGTTATTTTATGTTTCAGACTGTTGCCGTTGTTGACTGAAAACCTTCTTTCACATTGTCTTTCCAAAGACTGGACTCTTAACACATTGTCTTTGGTCACATCACTCCTAACACTTTTAACCAGACACAGCTGTTTTCGAAGAAGACTCTGTTCCCAATCAGGTGAAACATCAAACATTGTGTCAGACTCATGTTTCTGCTTTAAGACAAGTTTTCAGTAGAGACTCTGTTGGCAATCAAACATTGTGATCTTGTTTTCATTTTGATTTTGGCTCTGCCTCTCGTATTTCTACTTCAGCTTGTCTATGGACACACCTCAACAGGTTTTTGTGCAGTTGTTTAACAAACTACTCTTTGCTTATCACACAGACGATTGTATTTTACTCAAGATTTATCAGGGATGGCTTTTTAAGCCGGCTAATGCTCCTGACCTATGCTATCAAGGAGTTCATTTAAAGGTACAAAACAGAAACCGTAGAAGAGCCTTTCTAAAAGTCTCCATTTTTCATACCTTCCAGGAAATTTGAATCCCATTATATATGGCTGTGGTGTGTTTTCAGTTGGAAAAGTCTTGGTTTTTTTCTTCCAAATTGAAATGAGTGGGGCAAAGAAAAAAACTTCCTTTTCTGAGATCTCAGACGAACATTCACCTCTCCTTATGACTACATTTCCTATTAAAAATATCTCTTTTGTCACTATAGCACCTTAAATGAAAGCCTCACTTGTAGTGGTGAAAGCAAAGAAACTCTTAAAGTTGTTTAATGAAAATGGATTTTTTTCCTCTGTTTTGCTTCTTAGATTTGTACTTTTGTCAATAACCTCCTTAAAAACTCAGACTCATCAGTCTTATTATTTCCCTTGGAGAGTGAATGCCACTGCAACCTTGAGGTGAAGCAATTTTAGAGAATTAAGTGCATCTGCAATATGTAAACTTAAATGCTACTCTTAGTACCTGTAATATATATATTTTTTTCTATCCTCTCAGAATTGTTTATTCACAGGTACCCTTTATTTTTTCTGAAATTTACGAGCATTGGTTTGAATCAACAGCTTTTGAGATGAAATGAAAAGCTTTACCATGTCACATGAACAAACAATTCATGTTTTGCCATATTAATCAATAAATAATCAATAAATAGTGAATATTCCTGACTGATGTATTATGGGTGTTGGTCAGCCTTGGTGTTCGAGGTACAATGTATGTCTGAACCCTTCTGTTTGTTGTGAGAGGGTTATCTATAACACTGGGTGACAAATACTCCCAAATTCCATATAAGTCTTGCTTTCAAAGAGTGAGACCCAAAGTTGTCATGGTTATCCATATTATTACAGCTTTTCTTGATTGGTGTATTGATGGAATTACCAAATTATTTTTCAGCTAATCAAGTGCCTTGTATTGATGTTGGATAAAGAACTGAACTCTCTCAGCCAAGTTCCATCTGAGGCACTGACTGACCATACACATAACAGGTAAATTTATTTGTGTTGAAACCAGAGAGTGTTTGAAATTAAAAACTTTGAATCTAAAAATCTTCACAGATTGATATATGATAATATATGCTACACACTTTGAGTACTTTAGAAGGCTAAGATTTTCCTTTCCATGGTGCTAACCTTAACCCTTGACCTAAGACCTGTGTATTGCTGTGTTGTAGATTTATATTTTAAAGTATGGCTACAGGCCCATAAAGTTATCAGAACTTTTGAGAGACAGGGACCTGATGTAATCAGTCAGTCTATAATTTATTCCACCATGGTTTTCTTGTAGCTGTGCACAAAAATATTTTGTTTGATATTTTTCTTGTCTTTTTTTCTCAAAATTTTTTTCAGCCACAGTCTAATGTTACTGAGGCAAGGTGTGTTTCTTCTATCCATGTTATGTCTCAATGATCGAATGTTTGTGGAGCATCGGGCTGAAGTAGAACATCAGTATGTTAATGTTGTGAGCGGTGTTACCAGACTTTACAAGCAGATTGTTGGTGTGATTTCAGAGGCAGAAGGTAATGAAAACACAGTCAGAAAAGTGATTGAAATATTAATTAATGTATGTAATACTAAAAGATTTGTCAACTAGTTGGAATGTATTTTCTATACTTCTCACCTTGCTGTTTATTAATATTAATCACTTTAGTACAACTCATCAACAGGAACTTAGCTTGGCTTTTCATTGCAAATGAACCTCAGTTGTGATCCTTATCAAATAGTAAGGAATTAGACCAGCTATTATGTCACTGGTTAGAGCTTTTTTAGGAGCTTTTAAAGAATTTTATAAAAATTTAATTAGAGAAGTAGTTGCAATCTAGGAGTTAATAAATATGGCAAGGTAATTTTGATCAGTGAGGTTGTTATCTACATGAATAGACCAGTCTGATTAGCCAGTTTTGATTTATGGTAAAGAGCTCAATCTCTGAAGTGAAATGAACCGGCCTACTGACTATAACTCCTTCAAAATTTTTCTGGCTCTTTTATACAGTTGTATGCCAGTTTTTTTCCTCAGACTGCTAGATCTTTGTGGTCTTCTGATTCTTGGAAACTGATTTTAATTTCACTGTGTGTTCACAACTCTCAATTTACATCATGTTTGGGTAAAATGTTCAGCGGGAAGATCAGGAGAGTAGGAGAGGGCAAAAACCATTGTGTTCTAATTGACTTTGTCCTATAGAAGACTAAATTTGATGCAAATTACCTGACAGTGTGGCTGTGGAATCGGTGTTGACTTATCTCATGTCTGTTTTTTTTTTTTTCTCGACCAGTATTTGCTGTCCAAGAGTTAGTTGATTTTGAACACATCCAGGGGATTGAGTGGTCACAGGAATCAGAGGATGAAGATGAGACTGTTGAAGGAATGGAACTTGCTGAATGAAATTCAATTTATTCTCATATTTTAATGACTGAAACCTTTCAGTCACTTTTCAGGTCTTCATTAATAATTGCAGTGATCCTTTCTGTCAACATTGGCTGAGAGGAAAGTTTTTAGACAGAAAGAATAAGCCAGGATAGAGGAGAGAGCAACATATGTGCTTACTCGAAAATGTGTTAGAAGGTTTTCTTCTGTGAATGTAATGAAACTTCTGCTTACTTTTTGTTAAGGTAAACTATGATTGATCTAGCTGATATCTGATCCGTATGCTCTGATGATTAACCAAGGTTAAGAATTTCAGGTTTCTTGTAATGAAGTGAGGTTTCCTCATGCTAGGTATAGGAGTGTTGTGCAAGAAAATAATCATTTAAAATGTTCTGTTTGTAAAAAGTATCTTTTTATGTGAAAGGTTTGTCAACTGTTGATTTCAACAAACTGTTTTAAAATTCTAAGGTGTCTGGATGAGCTGGTGAAATCTCTTTTCATGCAACACCATTAAAGACCCTTAGTAGTAAAAACTGTCCTCTTCCTGACCAGAGAGGAAATAGGTCAATTCCTGCCAAAGCCTGAAACCTTTTTTTGCTGTTTGAGGTCCTTCCTTCTTTAAATAAATTTCTCATCCAAAGGATAATTACCTATTTCATTTTTCGGTAACGACAAGTTTTCGAGAAAATGTACCCTACCCATCTTGTGGAAGGTTTTGACCACCCCTCTGGAATTCAAATGACCCGGGGAAGCCCTGAGAGTAAGTCTGCCTAGTTGAGTATCCCAGCGTCCCTTGCTGGGTGCTAGTCATTTTGGCGGTCATGTAACATTCTCCACCTCGTGCAACGAACATCATGTTAGCCAGAGTAAGCCTTATTCGCTCTTCTATCGCTTTAGTGCAAGAATCCCTGCTAGTCCGACAAGTTTACGTGCCACGGATTGTGTTGACACACGCATTTGCCTCAAAGAAAGAGCTTCAAGTGAAAATAAAGCGCCCTCCTACAGCGTATCAGTTGTTTGCTTCTGCAAATCGGGAGCAACTTGCTAAGTTAAATCCCGACAGACCCAAACAAGAAATCACTAAAGCTTTACATGACCGATGGAGGGAGATGTCTGAAGAAGAAAAAAACCCTTACAAAGAAGAACATGATAAACAAATGAACTTGTACAAAGCTCCTCTGGAAAAGTTGCCGAAGAAACCGCCTGGAGTATTCGGTTTGTTTGTGAAAGAGAACTACTCCAGAATTACATCTGGTTTGTCTCCGGGGTCCACAGCTCCTGACGTTATGAGAGAATTATCTAGTGAGTGGAATAGCATGTCTGACGATGATAAGGAACAACTGAAAGAGAAATACGACAGCTTGGTTGATGAATACAACAAGCAAATTTTGACCTTCGATCAAAATTTAACCGACGAGGAAAGAGCCTTTCTGTTACAAAAACGTGGTGAAGAAATGCGAACTCTTGCCAAGAAAAAGCGCAAACTTTTAAATGTGGGTAAACCCAGATTACCTCCTGGTCCATTTGTTCGTTTTATGCTGAACTCCCTGGGGGAGGTGGAAAGTGAATCACCTGTTGAACGGCTGAAAATTCTGGGACAGAGATGGCAACAGTTGTCTGATGAGGAGAAAGAGGTGTACATCGAGGAATACCGCCTTGCTCGTGAACAGTATGTTCAAGATTTAGCTGAATGGAAGGCGAAGCACCCAGATGCTGAATGAACATAGATCCAAAGTGACAAAATGACAATCATTACTTTTACGTGCTGGCTTAAAAGTCAAATGTGTGAATGTTCATGCAATGTTTGAATATGTCTACACTGTTGACAGTATATTAAGTTTTCGAAAGAAGTGGCAAAGTCGAGTATTGTCTAATACTGAAAGGTGGTTTGTCTTTGGTTTCTTCACAGATGTCAGCTGTGTCTAAAATCAAATTTAAAATTTCAGTATCTACCAAATGGGAATTTAAAAAAATTCGGATTATAATGTTGGACATTAAAATGTACAAATCAGCCCTCTAAAAACACAGCTTCCCTAAAAGGATTGGTGGGCTTCTTAAAAGGGGTTGGGAGGGGGTGCATTGGAGTGTGGTTTTGGGGGATAGAGCATGTTGCATAACAAGACCAAACAATGGCTTCAAAGGAGACTAACATTCTCTTGGTAATTTAGTGTTAACAACTGAGTTGTAAATGTAAATTAGCCACCATATAGGGTAAAAAAGCTGACATTTCGAGCATTAGCCCTTCGTCAGAGCAATTCATCAATCACTCTGATGAAGGGCTAACACTCAAAACATCAGCTTTTTTTACTCTTTATGGTGGCTAATTTATGTTTTCAACTCAGTTAACACTAAATTACCCGTTATACTCTCCCACTGACACAACACCACAGTTTCTTTAGAAACTTACCCCCTTTATTCATTTAACATTCTCTTGCATCATGATCAGCTCTCTTATTTGATATTGATGAATCAACTGCATTTAGAAGGCTAACTTCTAAAAACATTAGACCTTCTTGCCCATAGAGGTCCTTAATGAAAGGAAAGAAGTAATGGATCATAGTTTGCTTGCGTAAACCTGACAAACAGCTTCCATGAGCCCTTTCCAATCCACAATCTCTGAATGATCTTTAGAGTCATTATCTGTGCCAGTAGTTCTATATACCACATGTAAATGAGGAATTTAAGGCCAGTAGCTCAAACCTCAATTTGGAGTCAACTTCTTCACTTTGAAAACATCCAGTATGGATGTCAACATTACTGCTCTAGGGCAAGTAGTCTGTGGGCAAACTCTTGGGTGCCACAGGAGATGTGAGTGGGCTATAATTGAACCTCGTGCTCATTTTTTCAGTCAGATTTTCTTTGCGAATGCAGTCAGTGACCATGATACAATGTGAGTGACAACCTGTCAAGGCTCAGCCCTTCAATGTCAAGATCCAATCAGTGTTTCTCACTACTGACTGTTATACAGTTCCCTGAAAATAAGACTGAGGAACTTGATGTTATAGCAAAATATTACCCTGTTGGTGATAAGCTTGGCTCCTCTCCTTACCTGTTTACAACATAACATATTAGACTTGTAAGGAGAAGTTGCAAGGTAATCCCCTCTAGGGGTTAAAAGCTTAAGGGGTGGTAAATCCCCAGGTAAGAAGATTGATGTTTCCTCCTGATTGTTATATTATTTGCATGAAATAACTTAGGTTGCAAACATTTGTTAGCCTGTGTGAAACACTTGGTCAGTAAGGACGAGTGTCCAATTTGGCAGGCAAACAATCCTAGGTAAGTTGGAAGAAAAGTTTCCCCCCACAAATGTCCCTTGCCCTCATGTTCCTCATTTCTTGAGGCCATGAGCCTGAAACAGGATAATGGCCTAAAAGTTATTAAAAGTTGTTAAAAGTTAATTATTAAATCACAACCTGTGCGCACACAATGTTAATATTTTGAAATAAAATGTTTTGTGGGTTGTAAATTTTCCCAAATTTCTTCCTTTAGTTATCTCAATTTATCTTTCCCCGCTCTATTCCCCTATGCTTCATGCTTGTTTACGACCGATTTTTCCTGCGGCTCCTCTTGATCTTCGAATGGCCGTACAGCGCGATGTACTGGGAACTAAGAACAACAAGTAGTCATTTTCAACATGGCGTCCCTCGCGAGGTTTCGTGCGAACTTGCGTTTGGAGAAAGAGCATTTTCTGGCATGGTGGAGTTCTTTGAAGAGACTAAGATTGTTGCAGAGATGTAAACATACAGAATGTGCAGTTGAGGTTGAAGTTGGAGGCCAGTAAGTGTGGGATTAATACCCTTGATATCTTTTCACGTGGTATTGCCATCGATGGAAAATATGCGAAATATTAGGACCTTATTCATTCCTTAATTAAATAATTAAGCTTAATTTTTAAGCAGTTTTGGTCATGTTTGTGTCGTAGAAAAATGTCATTCGCAACGGGTAAAATGGCTAGGTTGGCAGACGGAGCCGTGGTTGCTGAGGTAAGCTGTTGTCTTCAATATATTACAATTATTATTAATCCTTAAAATAAGTTTTATATTAAGAATTGATACTTTCCATAAGGTATGTTGCAAACCTAATATTATTACGAAGTAACGTAAATCAAGTTGATACCAGTTTTGCACCTGTGGATAATATTGTTTTTCATCAAAAGTCCATAAAGATCCAACTTGTTTAAGCATCTGTACCAAAGACAATAAAGATAACAGTTTGAACAGTCTTGGAACTCGATGTCAACCACGCAAGCTTGAACTAAACATTGAGGGCATGGTATTCAAGATACATACAAGCAATAATGCCTATTTTGCGAGGTCAAGATAGCTAGACGAGGCTGATTACTAGCCATCTTTACAGAATAACTTAGGTCCGTGGATGATTTATTTTATGGCAAAACATTCTAATTGAGAAATAAAATCATAAAAGTGGTCATTATTTTCTTTGTCTTGACTGATTAAAGATGATTTTTTACTTAAGTGTCACCCAGACTACAAGAATCAAACTATTTCACATTTCAAAAAAAAAATTGCACTAAATTTTGCATGTATGTTGACTGATGCTGCACACTGATCAAGTTAGCCCCTTTTTGTAAATTAATGTTGTAACTTCCTTGTGTGGTCATCTGGAGATCTGGAGTGTTATGGCTTTATCAGAAAAGTGGGCTCCTTTAGAAAAAGGGAGCCCTGAAGGGCCAATCAAATAGTTCACCTCTGCCTAAAGAATTTTAAGTTCTTGTTATAAAGAAATGAGTAAATTTTGTGTCTCTGAAGCCAATTTTCAATTATCAAATACTTCTATTGCTTTTTTTCACTTCAATAACCATTAAAATTTAAATTTGAATCTTTCATTACATGTACACAGAAAATATCACATCCCTAAATTTAGATTTCCACAATATTTCTATCTCCTATAGCACGGAGGGAATTCTACTCTAGTTGCTGTTGTTGGGGATAAGAAATCAAAACCAACTGGTGACAAAAGCTTGCATCTAAAAGTAAGGTGTACTTTGTTCCTTTTTTATGAGTCAGTGAATCTAAATCTTAAATATGATTTGTTATTTACCTGTTTCTGTTGTGTCATTGCAGGTTGATTATAAAGAAAAAGCAGCTGCAGGAGGCCAGATTCCTAAAACATTCTTCAGGAAAGATGTTATTTTATCCGAAAGAGAAACAATTGTCAGTAGACGGATTGGTATGAGAATTTTTTGTGTAAACTGAATTAACAATGTGTTCTATGGAACATGATGGTTCATAAATGATATTACTCACCTCTTAACATTGTGACCTTGGTTCTGTATTCTCTCTCTCTAAGAATTTTCTAACAGGTTCTTTGGTTTTCTTCATTCTAGAAGTACCAACATTATACCAAACTATAGTTGAATCTGGACTCAGAGAACTAGGGGCCACCATGTTGATACATTTGCTCCTGAAAAAATCCAATATCTTTCATATCTATTTGATCATTATTCTTTTGTATTCATGGTGCATACTATAACATCAGGTCATAAGTATGGACCCCAGAAAGCTTACCTAGAAGGGTTTTTGTGGCTAAAAATAGAAGAGACACATAAGTGAATGAAACTTTTTGGAATCGTCTACCATTTTACTTTATGCAATAGTGTAGTTTGATCGTCTGTGTGAGTGTAGTCCTGAGAAGGATTGTTGTCAGTAGTGGTAACTGATGTTTCAACAACCTGAGCAGAAGTTAAATGATGTCATCAGTCAAAAGTTGTTGTCAGTTGAATCAATGACTGACCCTGGAAAGCTGGTTTACTAACTTGAAACAGACTCCCCTCAACAAGTGTCAACCACTACTGTCGCCATACAAATGACTCATTCACGACATTAACATTACAAATGAACCAAACAGAACAACCTTACTTACTAATGGATGGAGACCGACCAATCACAACTGACATACACCACTTGAGTCTTACAGCCAATAACATCACAGCAAAACCAAACAATCAGTTTATACAAACCGGACTAAGAACATTCGACTGACAACAAATATTCACTTGACTCTGATGATAACTTCTGCTCAGGTTGTCAAAACATCAGTCACTACTAGCGACAACAGTCCTTCTCAGGACTACACTCACCCAGACCATCATTACACATAACATTACATGTTACCCCCAGGTTCAAACCATTTACTGCATTTTACTTTATGATAAATCAGAAACTCATTTTCCACTTTCTTCTTTAATAGACAGATCACTCAGGTCATTATTCCCCAATGGTTACCATGATTCTACTCAGGTAAGATTGGCATTTTCCTATTCTTTCAAACTAATTTAGTTAGTGAAGGGAGACTGATGGTGTTCTATTTAACCCTTAAAGCCCTTAGAGTGACCAGGATCTCATTTTTCCTTGCAGTCATTGTGTCATCCTAGAATCAAACATTAAGATCACAAGAAGTAAGGAGATGATCAGTGACTCATTTTTTGATGGTTAAATTAACTCTCGCTGTCAGCCACAGGAAATGTAAAGAGAATAGAATAGGGAATATGCATACTGAGGGTAGGGTGTTTTAACACACCATTTCAACCCTCAAAAGGGTTGAAATGTTTAAATAATGCATTGGTGAGGTAGACTATTTCTAGAGAAATATCTCTCTCTCTACTTGCACTAAAACATCTTTTATATCCAAGACTATATTTGTGGAGCATTATTTTGATATTTACTGGTGTGCTGTTTATATGAAGAATAACTGTTAGAAATATTTGTATCTATCTAATATTACATGTATTTTCACTTAGAATTGTGTGTTATTCCTTTTGTTTGAATGTGTAACAGATAACAGGAATTTTATGGGCAGCAACTGGGCTTCATGATCCTGATATTGCTGCTATGAATGGAGGTCAGTTTTAATAATAACTTAATAATAACATTTTTTTCTGAAATCCCATTCATGCCATGGGGGGGGGGGAAGGGAGAGGGGAAGTAGCAGAACTCCAAGTCACTTGATATTTTTGAAACTGAGATATACTATGTCATCAAGTAAATATTG